TCATAAAGGGGTTTACAGTGTTATTACAGTAGAAAGTACGAGTAGTTTCTACCAAACTAATAATTAAAATGATGTGTTTAATTTGTGGTGAACATAGTAAGTACAGAAAGTGCAATTTTATTTCATGGGAAAGTTACAAGATATGTGATATTTAATTTAATAAGAAGTGGCCCCTTTTTTGCGCCGCCTATTGTTTTCAGCTTTAGACATTCGGATGCTATTGCGCATGTGCGGTGTTCCCGTGTAAACGGGAGGCTATATCTATGTATATGTGATCTAAGGTGGAAAGCATGATGTGTCCATGATTTTATTTTAAGGTACAGGAAAGTGTCATCATATAAAAAATATTATTCTCAATGAAAAAATGAAGCTTATTAGCTTTCAAGCCATATGAAATCTTTCATAAATTACTGTAACTTATCTAATTTTCCACAGCTAGTGGATCTAGTTTCCATGCTAGTTTTGCGACGCGACGCGAAGCGAAGGGGGCAACACACCCTCGAGCTAAAATCTAATACTTTTTTCCCTTGTTCATTTGCTATCTCTACTTAAATGATAGTTATTTCGATACAGATTTTCATTACGATACAAGTTTACGACCAATAGGAATGCAGCATCACGGGAACACGACGCATAATTTATGAAAATCAAAGTTGCCAACAACGACAGATCTAAAATTTATTAGTTTTGACAACTGCTGGGCATAGCGAATTTGTGGTGCGTTTTCTTATGAATTAATCATAAGATTCCAATCGGCGGTGATCTTGAATAAATTTGACAGTGACACTCCGCGGGAACGCGTTACCATGACTGCGCATTGCGCATGCTTTGAGCTCGCAAACTTCGCTACCTACACACAATAAAAATCTAAAATTTTGGACCGCTTTTGAAGCCATCGTAGCATCACCTCTTTATAGATCATCATACATCATAGTCGTAGAAAAAATAGTGTATGAAACTCGCATTTAATGGCTATTGAGACACTCGTATTCATTACGAAACTCGCCAAGGCTCATTTCGTAATTCTCATACTTCATTAAATGCTCATTGCATAATATACTAATTCACTTAGTGTTGATTGTCAAACAAATGCCGTAAGGGTTTTTCTTCTCATAGCTACACGACAGCTATTCAGCCGCTAACATTTTATTTATTCTTTTATTTCTATATTTACTAACTTAAAAAGGTCTTTTGCATTCGAAATCATTTATTAACGAGCGATTCAGCTCGTTCATGATTTTGTACTTTCTGTGCGTCCGTCCGTGGTCCGTGGTCCATGGTAACTCGCGTACGGTTTTGAATTTTTCCTTAAAAAGTTTCGGCAACCTTACCAGCAACTTTTGACATTTCTGGGAAGTTATTGTTGCCACTCTTGCTCTCTCCATAAGTATTTTTTCGAGGTTGGGCTGATTCCATAATAATTTTATAGGATTCAAATCTTAGTGACTGAGAAGACCACGTCATGATTTTCAGCAAACACAAAATTAACCGTTGGTGAAACAAATAAGCTGAAAGAAAAATAGGCGCTCAAGGCCAGAAAAAACACAAATAAAACAAAGTTTAATTACCTTAAAGTGTTCCTAATCTAAAATCCTCGGTCGTACCTGGGATTTTCAACAAACAGGCGCACTAACACAAAACACCAGGTGATATTGTTTCGAAACTTTACTTGCATCTCGATTTAGACGACACTGAGTTCGTTGTTATTACTGATGTAAAATGTATCTCTTTGATAATAGAAAAACTCCCTTTAACGGGTACTAGGCAACAACGCTTTCTTCACAATCTTCACTTTCTTCTATAACAAGAATTTTGCGATGATAAAGAGTGACTGTCGTTCCAACTGACAAGACGAACTGTTTTGCAATAGGTAATACGGTTAAATAACAGCGAAAGCGAAAATCACCAAAACAAAAGCGACTATGTTTTAGCTTCGGTTTTAGCGTCTACCAAAACAAACAAGCAACGATTAACGTCTGCCACTTCCATTTAAAACCTTAGATCAGGTCAGGAACAACATGTCATTTAAGTAACATCGTTTTTTATGAGTTTTGTGCTTAAATTGAGAGGAAATACACAAAAACAACGTAAAATCATGGTGAATTGTGCAGATTGTGGATGCAAAAGCCGGAGTGAGAAGGAGGAGCCGGGAATTTCATTTCAGGCGTAAATATTGAAAATGTGCCTAATGCCGTTACCACGTATTTTCCTATTTTCATCATAAAGCTTTTTCTTTGAATATTCTTCGTTTAATATGTTAAAATTCATACCTTAATGAATGACTATACACAATTTCGTACAACAGAACCAATCCCATGCGTTCAAATTTTGATAACAATCGTCTTCAAGGACGGAATTAAGCAATAAACTCCATAGGCGTAGTAATTAGCACACCGCGTTTTTCAAAGAGAAAATTGGTACGGAAACGGATACGGATTCTTATTTTATCACAATCTTTAGCTGGAGGGACAGTTAGTTTTAAAGGCATTCCCGAAAAAAGATAAGAGGAAGTTTCGTTTATACCCGTGTCTGATTAATAAATAGCGCAACGCACGAATTCATTCGTTTGTTCAACGTGTTTTATTATCTCTCTCTCTATCTAACCGAAACATGAGCAAAAAAATTTGCTGTGACTAGCACAGATAACAATTGGTTCAACCGTTTAGCCGGCGCACAATTGGAAAGAAACGAGTAACAGCTTTAAAAGTAGTTTGTTTTTTAGGTACTTCTTCCATTATTCGCATTTACGGATGCTACGCCACTGGCCAATCTCATTATGTGGCAGGTGGTAACACTATCGCTTGCGAATTATGCGTCCATCTTCTTTCCTTATCTAAGCTTAAAACTATTTCCCTTTCTTTTCAACGTCCGCCACCCATAGATAATTAAGAGGGGAGAATACTCATCACTATGCGCAGAATTCATGAAAATGCCTAAACAAGGAGGCAGCCATTTTGACCCATAGAAGCGCGCGGTTTTTAAACCTTGATTTTGAGAAATAACTACATTTAGGAAGATGAAGAAAATTTAAACGCTTTTTTGTTACCTTTAAACCTAAATTAATTTAGCGCTTACTTATTACCAAGTTGTCAACAAAATATATTAAGCTGTAAATAAAGGAACAGCACCATTGATGATCCGCCAAATGCTTCTGTTATTTTAAGTATATGATATACTGGTAATTCTTACAAGCAGGGCATTTATACATAGACAAACAAAATCCAACCAACAATCGAGATTCGTTACACCTCGTATGATGTGGTTCAAAACCAAATGAAAAATGTGTACATCGTTCTTGTCATTATTTCCTGACGATTTTTATTACATCATCGGAAACTAAATCACGAAAGGAATGAATACTTTCAGAAATGGGTACTTGATCCTTGAGTACAACAGGAACGAATAGGTACCTATTTGAACACTTACTTTTTCATAACTGATCTGATTTACTTAGCAGACTTACCTATAATAATGAAACTGAGAATAAAACTACACATCAGAAATACAAGTTTATTGATGATTAAACAATATTAATTTATTTAGTTCTTGCCTAATACTTTTCCCTTGAATTACAGACGTGAATCTTTTACACAAATTAAAAAATCGAATGCGTACATAAGCACCTACAATTGCTTTAATTAACGATGCAGTGTGATTATTGGTTATAGTGGAATAGTCTATAAAATGTTCCTCCAAATGTGGAAAAAGCACTTTACCTTGTCCATAAAACTTCTGCGAAATTGCGATGGTAAAAGTTTCAAAAAAATTGGATTCTCTGGGAATTCTACCTTCAGTTGCGTCCATAAATCTTCTAATACAACCTTCTACACTTAAACAAATTGTTGTAACACCTTTAGTAGGTATATACAGTCCCCCTGTAAATATTAAGATTATAAACAATTTATAAACTTGGCACAGCTATACCTTTATTTTTTTTAAATAAAAATCGATAGTCTTCGTCAAATTCATGTCCTATACATCCTTCTACACAATCGGGACATTTAAATCGCCTCTTCAGCATTTTTATAACATAACCACTTATATAAGTGACAATGTTAGCTGTTAAATTATTGAAATCGATGGCAATTGGTAAAATGTCATAATCATGATCTCTCTCTTCTTCAATTAGAGCATCCAAACCGTATCTTCGCAGCAAAGGTATGTCTGGCATATTAGACCCACTCATTTGAACAGTGGATTGACTTGGAACTGTTAGTATCACAGTATCATCTAATACACGGCAGTTACCACTTCGGCCAGAAGCATCAATTTTGGTATGCAAAAGAAGTCTGCGAAATGTTTGCATAAATTGCAGACAAGATGGATTATTGTTAAAGCCATTACGAGATCTAAAATTTGGTATTAGGTGGAAAAGTGAATTACACTTTGTAGTACTTACCTAACACAACAAAAAAACATTTCTAGGTGGTCCTGACTAAATTTATACGTTAAAAGGTATTCTAAGGGGCCACCAGTCACTATGGCATCAAAAGCACCAATTGCAGATCTGATGCACATTATAAAACCAATAATAGGCGTTTTCCGTGCAGTGCGCCATATTTCACGACCTGCCACATCATTCAAAGAAAGTAAATATTCTATAGAATCTAACAAGTACGGTCTCCAAGTATTTTGATTTGATTCCCGTAGTGGTGCCTTGAATCCTTTTGACCAAGGACACCGTGAATTTAGTAAATCAAATATAGCATCGATTCTCCTAACAAATTCAACAGTGGGCTTAACATCCTGGAAGTCTGGATGTTGAAGATCGTCACATAGAAAGTCTAATGCGTCTGCAACACTTGCACTTAGTGTCTGCGCTGCAAGACTCACCTGAAAGTAAAAGTATTAGTAGCACTGAAATATTGAATAAGTATACTTACTTTCATTTTTTGCCTCTGCCACTCAATATGATTTTTCTTTAATTTGTTCGCCAAGTTTAATGTTTCAGAATCCTGCAGTTCATGTAACTTTTTAATGCATAACCATTTTATTGCTTTACCCTCTGCATTTTTAATTTCACAAAGACTTCCTAACATATTCCGAGCAAGCTTCAACATATGACACGCATCCAAAAAGCAAAATATTTGTTCATTAGTAGTGGGATGTGAAAACCAGGGCTGTAGATTTTTCAGATCATCTAATTTACAGCCAAGTTCTGTTAGCATGGTGAGATGAGCTGAAGGGCCGTCACATGTCAATGAAATTATTTTCACCTTACTATTTTCCAATCGCGTTAATGCCTCAAATACAATATTTGCCTTTTCCTTACCAGTTAATGACTTTATTAGAAAATAAGCGATAGGTATTTTCCAGTGGGCATTCAACGCAACTACCATCAACACTAACACTTCGCTAGCAGGTTCCAAACTATCGTTTTGAATGCCTGTGCCAAGATCTACGTAGCCCCAAGTCCGTTTACCATCAAATTCGACTTGTTTTCGCAGTGACATCTCATCCAGCATCAAGCCACATATCAATTTTTTATTGTTAATCGTAGCCTCATCCACTTTACATTTCAGTGCATCAAAAGCCGGGGTACAATATCCAGGAAAACAATTAACATTGGCATACCACTTCCTTATCGTAGATTGGCTTGGCATACCAAGTGCAAACGTTTGTCTCACGTACTCATAAGCCTTTGATGAGTAGAACTGTAACGTACATGCAAAACTTCTTAATTTTTCAGGATATTTTTCTCTGGTAGTGCAACGTGCTTCGCGATTTTTGAGATACCGAGCCATTAAAACGTCAGGAATTTCTTCATAGCTCTTTTCCAAATGAAATAAGGCATGTTCAGACAGATTTTGATTTTTTCTCAAGTCTGCAATTACAGTCTTCAATGATCTAACTTTAATTTTCAGACTTTTTACGGTTTTTTTAGCTTGGTATAATTTTCTGCGTGTCTTCACCTGTTTATTTTGTGCACGTTGCAACTTTACCTTGACCGTTCTTGGTGAAGTACTAAAAACACTATGCAAACTTTCACATAATTACTCATCCAATTTTTTTACCTATACGAATGAAACTCCTTAACCATTGAACATATCCGTTTCCTTCTGGTACTGCTATCCGTACTGCTAGACGACTCTCTAAAATTAAGAGTAATTGAAATTAAAACCAGAATTTGTAGATAGTTATGGACAAACCTTGGTTTCGTAGTAGTGGATGAATAATGCATTTTTACAGGTCGCTTAGGTGAATGTCCCGATTGTTCTGATAGAGAACTACTTTTATTGCTGCTGGGAGATGAAATGCTTAGCGTCAATGTGGTCCTTGGAATTAAAGGTGGTGTAAAGGGTGGGTGCTTAAGTACTTCAGGATGACTTGGGTCGCTTCTTGGAGGTGTGTTGGAAGTTGTTGCTACTTCCGCAAAATGAACTGCAGACGAACATGCATGGCCAGTATATAATTGAGGAGCATCATCAACAGATTGCTCAACGTGTTCTGTCAATGAAGGTACAGCATCACGTCTTAGAATTGTTTTACATCCACTTTTAATTTTGTCACCTTCCTTAAAATGCGTTGAACAGACAAACTTATTCCTAGTCCAAGTAAATGGTCTCGGAACATTAAGGGCATCCAACCAAACATCCAACATTCCATCTTGTGGTAACCTAAAAAGTAGAGAAACTATAAAAATCCCAAAAATACAAAAACCTTGAATGTATCAAATTAAAAGCTTAGCCCCTCTACAGCATTTTTTGTTAGGATTTAACTTACCAATGGAAAGAAATACCTTCAGGACGAAAACGTTTTTTGTTTTTACAATTTCGGACAATACAGGACATGCCTAACTCTTTGAATTAGGATATTTTTTATTCAGTGGCTTAACTGCTTATTAATACGCTGGGAATTCACAAAGACACAAACACAAACCGTGACACACTTGAAAGACACAAACACAATCTTGACAGTCGTGGGTCAAAATGGCGGCCACCTATGTGTACCTGTTAATTAGCGATGCGCAGTAGTCTTTTCGTATTCTCCCCTCTTAATTATCTATGCCGCCACCACTTTCATATCAAATTAATGATCGTTGAATGATAAACTGCACGTTTGAATCTAATTAGCTTACGCCGCGATAACAAAGCTTCTTATATAACACCGAGTATAACACCGAAAATAAACTTTTACAAATCTTACGAAATTATTTCCAAAAGTTAAAATTTAGTCTTTTAACACGTGATAAAATTGAACCAATAAATAAAATACAAGGTGATTATTTAAGCAAAATTATAACAACTAATAATTCTGATACAAATCAAAATTTGACCTAGAAATCGAATGGTATGATCGAAATTCCGCCTAATCTCCTAATTAATGTTTGTGAGATTGTCATTCAACAAGGACAACTAAAACCAACTCTTTGTGAAGTGTGGGATATTTGGAGTGGCCATTGTTCAAACTATAGACATGCAGCATAATGTTTAATGCTTGTTTTTTTTATGTTATGCGTTTCAAATATTAACTGGACAACAGTTAACGTATATTTACGAGGTTGTTGCGTTGGTGACTCGTCATAGTGGCGAGTGATCCAGTGGTGAGTCGGCTAAAACGGTCCCGCCCATTCGGAATCTCATCTATTTCTTTGCAGAGTACCCAGAAGCGTCTCAGAATTCTTCATAAAATAGCGTAATATCGCAGGTTTATTTTCCGTCGTGTAAGATGGACGCAATTGAATGAATATTTGCGTAGATTCTGTGGCTGTAAGACCAGATGTGCTTATATTAGTAAAATTAAGAGGTAGTGATAATAACTGAAAAGGATAGATATGTAAATACCAGTACCGAACACTGAATACGTTAAATTAATGGAAAGTGTTTTCATCAATCTCACTCATCTGTCACGAACCTTTCTAAATTTGTCTCTGAACGCATCAATTGCAAATGGGAAAGGCAATGCTTTTACTAAAATCATTTTTGTGGATTGCGCTAAAAGGTCTCTATGTTTAGGAAATTAATGTATCATTGTTATTGTTATTTCGAAAAATGCATTACATGTACGATCGAACTTTAAAGGAAAAAAACCATAGATATTGCAAAATGAAGAATTGATAAGTGCGGGCGATTACTTACTATTTAAATTACAAAAAATACAAGGTACCTAGGTACCGAGACAAGAAGTGGTAAACGAAGGCAGATATCACCCTAATATTGCTTTGATTGCCAAGAAGCGACGCGATCTGAACCTAAAGAGGGAATCTGAAACTTAAAATTCAATCATCTATCTTGCATCATCCGAATTTTTAAACTACAGGAACTAACTGAATAAATTTTATTTTGGAAAAAGTTTAAACCAGGGTAAACTAATACAAATCGACGAAATGATTATTAAAATAAGTATGACTTTCTAATATAAAAGTGTTCTGAGAACTACTGTATATAGGGCTAGTAAAATGCTCACCAGGAGAGTCTGCCGGTCACAGAATGCTTGATAACGGTCTACAATCATAATCGTACCATACTCTCCTGGCGAGCATAATACATGAAGGCACAACAGGTTTGGGGAATCTAACGGAACTAAGCAGAACTTCGCTCAAATATTGATTTACTACCAAACAAATACTTATATTTCCAAACACAATATCATTAGTGAGTACTTGAGCCATAAATTAAATTTTCATTTTATTTTACCTTTAAATTCCGCGCATTCGGAGGGAGATGTAAGCAAATTATTAGAAATCAATATAGGGTAGGTAGTTCAGACTCCAGATAATGATGAAAAAAATTAAATATATATAGATGGGAACAAGTCCCGCGATTCTCATCTAAACGTGCTTTCTTCTACAACTGTAAAAAAAACTTGAAATTTTTTTATGAATTCCGAATTCCTAGATTTTTAAACGCCTAATTAACTAACATTGCTTTTATAGCAGTGCGCGAAAACGCCACGTCAACCGTGAAGTATTGTACGCACTGACAAAGTTGTACCTAAACAACAAATTAATCCGCTTATCTGTAGAAAAAATCTCTGATCGTTTCGCCCTACCGAACTTTACGATCCACAGAAACAACATCATGTAATCATCAAACATCATGTAATGGCCACTACACCGTTGCAGATGTTAGGTTAGGCCCAGATTTCAATTCAAATGGCAAACAACAGCCCACTCAGATTGATTTCCGTCCACCTACGACCAGGACGTACATTTCCCTAAGCACAGACCTCCACAGTACTAGGTGGCGACTCACGGATTCGGAACAACCTTTCACAACAGCTTACGGTCCGTCACTGAACGTGAACAGAATCATTAAAAGCCTCATTTAGCCGATCTTTCACTCAGCGAACCCACCTGTTATAGTCCAGGGAATAGAGGGTTTTAACTTGCAAAATCAGAAGTAGTTCCGATTTCTTTTGCATGTCAGAGACAGTCATCTGATCGTTAAGAATCTAAGTTTTCGACCTCCCACCCCTTGTGCTTCCCCCGTACCACCCCCAAAACCCCTGAAATTTGGTTGGTTTTTTAGTTTTTCAATCATATCTTTTTGATGGTTTACTTTAGAAAAAAATATTGTTATCAGAAATTGTAGACCATAACATTCTACGTAACTTATTGATATACACTGCTTTTTTGTGAAATGTTTATTAAAAAAGATATAGAGCTTGAGAGTTGGTTATATTTTTAAGAATTCTGAAATTTCTACGTAGATGTTTTAACCAAATTTTATACTTTATCTCTATAATTAATTGAGATTGTAGCAGTTTCTAATATACGTTTGAATAGAAATTTCATAATTCTTAAAAATATAACCAACTCTCAAGCTCTATATCTTTTTTAATAAACATTTCACAAAAAAGTTGTGTATATCAAAGTTGTGTATAATTTTCTACTCTATAATTTGTAATAACAATATTTTTTTGTAAAGTGAACCTATAAAAAGATATGATTGAAAAACTAAAAACCAACCAAATTTCTTTGGTTTTAAATGTGGTACAGGGGAAGCACAAGGGGTGGGAGGTCGAAAACTTAGATTCTTAACCACCGCATATTCTTCCATGACATGCAAAAAAAATTGGAACTACTTCTCGTTTTGCAGGAAATGGTCCATTTTCAGTCTCTATTTCCCAGACTATTATGGAAACTAGGGCAGACAACCACACTAGACATCTTCCTAACGAAGAACATGAATAGGCAGATCACGGTATCTTTAGCTCCTCACTACTTGACCTCTGACCATCTGGCAATCACAACAATAATACTACATAGCATGCTTACCTTAAGTGGAATACAAATTGGAACTCATTTTCTAAAAACATAAGTCGCACTGGACCAATACCGATAATAATTCAGTCAGTCCAAGGGATCGGAGCGGCAATAAAAAATGTACATGGATATTCAGCACGCCTACGCGCCTTCCACCACTTATATAAGCACACCACAGAAAAAAAACCAACAATCAAGGCTCTGATCAGAGCTAAGAATAGGGCACTTAGAAGGACCAGAACGACGCAAGCCCCCGATGACCGGAAAGAAGCCAGTTGACTTCAGCAACTGGTTAAAAAGGAGCTTAACAAATTCAGGAAATGAAAATGCAATGTCAAAATCGATAGCATCGATAGCATGGCATGACACAAGAAGTAATGAAGAACGACCCAAACAGTGTGTCACGAATGAAGGACGCAATTTGAGTGACGTATTGTTTAGAACAGTTTAATAATGCATATTCTTAAATGACATTGTGTGTTCTTGGTTAATAAAAGGTAAAACTTTCTACCATAGTTTCGATTTGTATGGGCTTCCCTATTAGGGGAACTCCATTCTCCACCCTGTATTATAGGTTGTTAATCTCGGATCTTGGACTAAATTTTACTTTTAAGCGACGACTTGACATAAATCAAACACTGAAGCTAGTATTTTTTTATTTTCTACGAATGTTTTAAAGAACGAGTGGTAATAAACTAATGTTTTGAAATTTTTTTTGGTAGTCTCTTTAATGGCTTTTAATCACATCACGAATGCACCTCGTTACACTGAGAGGAGTCATTATGCCACCACGCGCAGTGTTTTGACAAATGTTCACACTGTTCTTAAAGATGTTATCTCCTCTAAGTTGAAGATCTATAAAGTCGTCACAGTCACGTAAGATTGTCCATTTCCATGATTTGATGTTCTTCAGGTTATCGTATAAAATGTCTCCTTCTGCTGACGTTAAATTGAACGCCTCCCAAGTGCATTTAAGGTATTCCCCGAAAATTGGAAGTTGTGAATTACTAAGATAATAGCTTAAAATAGTATCTGCTGCTAAAGTTCCCGCACATTTTTGCTCTTCCATATTTAGCACGTTAACGCAAAGGGACTCGGTCTACAAAAATTCATCATGAAGTGAAAAAAGTTATGCAGATTTACTTACCTTATGGAGATAGACTAATAACGTAACAAGTGCAAAGCTTATAGTGTTCATGTTCAGTAGAATGTTCTTTAGGTAAGGCAGGTTCACTATCTTAACAACAAATACGTCTATTTCTTTTATACTCCACATTTTACAAAAATTATCACCGCGATTAGCAGTATACTCGTATCAACATTATTATTACAAATTATCAATATCTTCAAGTACGTGATGAGAGGTTTTGCAATACGCAATCTGAAGATCACCTAACGTACGTCGTTTGCAATTAAAGGATGAGATGAGTTCTAAATACACCATATGTGACACATTCTTACTTTTCCGTTACTCTTACCATATTGGTCTATGCTCTTACCCATATCCAGATTACCATCCTAGAATTTGATCATAGAACCAAAAAGAGGTACAACCGAACTTATAAGAACCTACAGAACACGTTCACATTGATATTCATGTAGAAGTAGATATTATATAGGGATTTCCCAAGAATGCTATATAATAAGACTGCTCGACCACGGAATTTTTTCGCCGCGTGTTGTGACGTCACTGGCGGACCCAGACGCACCGCATGCTTTGATTTTTTGATTTGTGCACCACTTTAATTTGTATTT